AAATTAAGATGTATGAAGTGGAACACCCCTCTGAGAAGACGCCTTATATTTAGACCATTTTAGACACCCTACGTATACGGGATGAAGCTCGTTCCGGTGTTCCCGGCGACACTCGCCACTCGCGCCGACACTCGGTCAGACCGGTGAACTTCGGCGATGCCCGGCCGACGTGGGGAGCCCCACGTGGGGGCCGGCTGCTTTCCCGCGGTGGTGAAGGGGCGGGCCAAAGGGGTGTGATTGGAACCGAAATGGGTGAGGGAGGGGGAACAAGTGTGATATTGTTGGTGATCAATAACGGAGGTACGCTTCAGAATTCGTCAGAAAATATATAATAAAGGTTTATGTCTGTCTATATTACCCAGACAGGACTAATGGGACTGCCATAGTTGCAGATCAGGCCAGGGGTGGTGTGGTTTGGGGGTTCTGGCTTGATCGGCAGTCCGTCCTGGCAGTCCCAGACAGGTCGTGTCTGGATGATGATACACCGATCGGATGGCTGCACAGCACATGGTCGGTGACCGACCGACCAGTCGACGCAGGTACACCGATCCTTTGGATGAGGCCGATGCGCCTCCACAGAAGTCCAATTCGGGCGGAAAGAAGGCACCGGCGGTCGAACCGGGCGGGCGTTTTGAGATCTTCATGAAGTCCAGATGGAGAGTTCTTCAAGGTTTATGATCTGCCCATGCTGCACAAGTTGCAAGTGAATGAGCAAGAGTGTGTTTCATCGTCAAGGTCAAATCCATTCTCCAAGCATAGTGCCAAAAGCGCAGTTCACTCTGCAAGGAGTCAGGGTATGTCAAGGTTAACAAGATTCTCCAAGCATAGTGCCAAAAGCGCAGTTCACTCTGCAAGGAGTCAGGGTATGTCAAGGTTAACAAGTTCATGTGGGTTTTGCCTGCGGTCGGTTCAGTTTGCGCACTCAGTGCCAGATAGGGCAAGCCAGATCTCTCAGTGATCTCGTACGCGAAACGGGATGTCCTGTGTCGTGCTTCGTACTTCGCGAGTAAAGTAGAGGCGAAGTTAGATGGCTCAGTCCAACACCTCAACGGACCGCCCCAGTCCGATGGTGCTGGAATTGAAGGGTCCGGGAACACGAGAAGTCCCAAGCCCACAAGCACAAGAACAAGTAATCACCAAAGAATCACAGATGGGTCCGTAGTAGTTTCTACCCAACAATGACGAAGGCACAATGACTTAGATGCTTGGAGCGAATTCGTGAATCGGAGGAGTAGAGTCCCTCATTCCGAGTTGTTTTCTGTGTGGGGGCCGCCCAAAGAAAGCGACAGACGCCTGGACTTTGCAGATGGAGCCTGTCTGGGAAAATCGTTTCGATTCGGAGCGCCACTGGTAGGTATAGGGCCTAAAGGGGCGATGTCACACAGTCAGCAGCGACGACGAGTCACCTCTTCCCCGAACGAACACATCGAGTCGACACGGACCGTCCGTGTGTCGGGTCCGAGGCGGTCCGACCGTTCGACCTGTGCCGGTCAGGGGGGCAAAGCTTCGCCGATGCCGGATGAGGTGGGTCGTGAAATGACTCTCCCTGGAACTCACATGGTTACGTGGATGGCACCACCTGTTTGTAGTGGATGGAACATGGCCATCCTTTCGGGGCCAGGCCATCCATGTAACCATGTGAGTTCCAGGGAGTGTAGAGTGTAGATTCCTGCAGATGTCAAGTTGGGTAGAGCTGGACAAAAACATTAACACCCAGCTGGCTCTTCAGCAGCGTTCGACATTTTGTGGAAGCATAGCGATCCAATGCAGAGATATGGGTGTGTATTGAAACAGGGAGACCTCCCAGTTTGACCCCCTGGAAGGGGGGAACATAGACCAAAAGCAGCCAAAACCCATTCGTTTCAAGTCTCCCTACGAAAATACACATCATGGTATATATGCCTACATTGACCCCTGAAACCACCCCAATGTATGTAAATATGACAGTCCCGTGGAGTGTTTGGGATATGAAGGGATGCCGTGTCCAGCGGAGAAGAAGCTGTGTAGCCGCATAATGCTGCCCACGCCACATAGGGCCTAGATAGGGCTTAGGGGAGCATTTCCTTTACTATCTGGCAGAGTTTGATGTGTCTATATAATACTGCAATTGTTGTTTTGTGAAGACCTTTTGCAGCAGCCACAGACTTGCTACGTATGTGCTTGCGCTTTGAATGCTACCTGTTTCGTTTCTTTTTGGAAGCAATGCTGTTGCGAGGGACACAAGCCACTGGATTGAGTTTTTGTTTGATTGAGTTACTGAAGTTTCTCAATCAGGTCTTGGCTGGTTAGTTGATGTTTCGTGAAGTGATGAAACAAAGCACTCAGGCCTACTTGCCACTCTTGAATGAACACATGTGAAAACAACCCCTTGTTGCTACCCTAGCCACCCGACAGCACCATGAGCTGTAAGGTCCAGGGTCGTAAGGTCCAAGGTTGAAGACCAGCAGCACAGGTAACACCCATGGATACTCCTCCTTCTAAACACCATCCAAAGATTGAACACCCTCCAAACCCTCCAAAAGAAGCAGTCAGATGCATCATGTGCGACTCGCCGTTCCCAGACTCGCTCTTTCCCTCTCTCAAGCACTTCACTCTTGGCCGTTTTCCGATGTGTCACTCATACCTCCACCCACCGTGGCCCCGTAGCCGCAGGAAGTGGTTCCGCCCTTCACCGGGCACGAGTCCCTCAGTGGCGCTATTGGTCCCAACGGCTCCGCCGTGCTGGGAGGACGGGGGGACGGAGCCTTGGACTGGTGCCGAAAGGACCGATTGCACCAGGGGGTGGCTGACGACGCCAGGAAGAGTCCCGGTTAAAAGCTCGTTTCTTTTTTCAGAACAGGGGACCGGGGTAGCAATTAGACTTGTTTTTTCTCATGTTTCTCATTCTTCTACGTATTTCTGCAACTGAATGGAGGTCGGTTTGGAAACCAGAGGAGCTGCCAAAATTCAAACCACGCACTATGGGAAAGCAATCGTCAACCCAGCATAGACCCTATAACACTGGTCCAAATTCGGGCACCTTGCCTCCGACCCTACTTCTTCGTGGCAGGCAACGAGGATTGGCTTCTGCCGGTGCATTTGCTACCAGCAGTTTATTGGCTCAGGCGCGCGTAAGCACCCATAAAAGCGGCCGTTGGAGGGAGATCCATTGGTGTTTTGAGACATGATCAGGTTTCAATGCGATAAGGCCCCCAAATTGGGCACGTCCGACGTATGTTCACAAGTCTTTGCTGGGGGTGCCAGTCTTCCTCATTGTAGAGTCTTCCCTCGTTGTGTTGAAGATCCTGGAAAGCCCAAACATTCAGCGTTTCAGCTTCGACATGCTTCGACGATCCTTTCAGGTTGGAAGATGCTACCAAACTGGAGGGCAGCATTTGGGAAGCTTTACCTCCCCTTGAGATCCCTTTCCGCGTGGAGGCCTGAGCGGCCTGAGCTTGCCCTTTCCGGTGCTGGTGGTCAGGGACCCCCCTGCACCAGAAGATGTTGGAAGAAAAAACACAATTTGTTGTTCGTATTTTCCTCTGATAGCTTGGTATCTCTATACAGACTTCAGTCTGGCCCGAAGCAAATGAGACAGATGGTCCTGGTGCAGGACATGACTGACCGGCACCCGTTTCACCCGTTTCCACCGCATGGACCAGACGGCTCAAATTTGGGTCCAGTGAAAGACGTGAAGTGGAACGTCGGTCGGAACCGCCCACGGGTAGGTGGGACAGGTAGTGGGCAGTGGCAGCTTTCTTTTTTTTTCCCCACCACTGCCAGGCTGTTTTGGCCTTGGTGACGGTGCAGGATTTCAATCAAGTGTCAACAGTTGCAGGACAAATCTCTTCACAGTGGGCATTTTTTTGGGGAATACCTCCAGCGGTGTGGCCAAGTGGTTTCAAGCACAGAGACTGCCCTGGAGCTACTCCTGGAAATCTATTTTGACAAGGAACTGACTGAGGAAGACTCTGAGATGATGAAGAATGATGATGCTTTGATCATCTAATCTCAGACTATATGAAACATGTCACAGAATGAGCATGAGATTGGAATGCAAAGGCGCAGGTGTCGCGTGGCGCAGGTGTGTTCAATCTTCACCAGAAAGCCAATGTCAGCATAGTGAGACAACATGAGACAAGCCAGATTTTTCTGGAATTGCTTGAGCCTGGAGGGTTCGGAGGGTGCTGCATAACCCGTGCAGCTGCTCCAGGCAGAAGAAGGCGGACCAACTTCTGGGATTCTGGCTTTCGGTCCTTTGACCCGTTCCTCGTTGCGCCAACCCTGGAAAACACTCTTAAGTATCTCTTGGTGACATCCTCAAAAGCTTTGGCTTTCAGTATGCAATGTGGAGTACTGTCCTTCTATGTCCTTCTTGTTGCTTGTTGGAATTCGTTGGAGGACCCGAAACGCACGTGCTTGGCAAACTGCGTGGTGTTGATGACGATGCTATGGCTTGGCTCAAGACTCATTAAATAACGAGTTGCGAATGGAAGGGCTTCTAGAAATACGGCTTGATAACTTCTCCTTTGGGTGATCCTTATGTATTTCCTTATATAGTGACATTTGGATTAGGTTGGTGACCTAATCTAGGATCAATGATGATCAATCACTATCCAGACCCCACAGTTAGGATTTTGTTCACACACGTTTTCATACCTGTCATACCCCGTGTCATACCCGCCATACCTGCACCTCTCGTGCCAGAGGCGGATGACCATCGCCCCTCGAAACCCTGGATGAGCATCCCTTACAGTAACCCGAAACCCAGCCAGGGCCGATTTGGGGGTCGACTCCCTAGTGAAAGATCTGAAAGAGACACCCTGGAGGAAGGGAAATGGATGGAATTGGTCCAAAACCCCATATTCCCTAGCGCTCCCACTACCTCCATTTCGGTTCGGTGGTTGGGGTAAGTTCTGGGGGGTTTGTGCCCACCGAACCTAAGGAGATGGGCCCCTAGGGATTGGTAGGGGGTCGACTCCCTCTTGAAAGACACCCCCCCTCACAGCTTCACCTGATGAGTCCGGTTGACCCAACGCACATCACTCAGCGGAGATGGGTTGGCCCCCGTTACCGTCATGGCGGGCTTGGAGGAACGGTTTGAAGAACCGGAGGAGGTGAGGCTTGACGTCTTCGGGTTGAACTCGTGGTTGCTGTAGATTTGGGTGTCACTGATGGTTGCTGTAGATTTGGGTTTGCCACGGTTGGTTGGTTGGTTGGTTGGGAGAGTTCACCCTGCCTCAGGTGGTTGGATTGATGAAGCAAGTGAGGATTTCAGTGACAGGATTTCGTGGTTCTCCGATCTAGGAGCGGAGCCAGGGAGAATTTGAGGATTTGTCTTTTGAACCCATGTTGCCCATTGTCCACGGAGAGACGTCTTCCTACGGCTTTGGAACATTGGATTCCTGCAGCTCTGAGCTACTGTTGCAGTGTTGCTGTAGGATTTTGGATGCATTCCGTGCAGCTATCCACTGTTTGTTTTTTCCACAGGTCGATACACGCGCATGAGGAGCAACACCCCACATCCACATCATGTATACTATAACTCATGGCGTTGTACCGTTTGTACAGTTTGTATGCTACTTGACATACTGGGCCAAACGAGCTGAACCATGTGGAAGAACCATGTTTACCCGGGAAGAAAGAAAACACGCATCCTACCAGCTGCTTCCAAGGGGTCACCGATGGATATCTCCACACTACTTACAGGTCTCCATTGGGCAATTCTTGGAAGCGCTAGGTAGAGTTTGGACATGCCCTTCTTTTGTAAATGCATTGTCCTTTTCCAAGTTCTTCACTTCTGTTCGCAGCTGGATGGAGGATGACAGCATGCTTTCTGTTCTGCACCTTGGAAAGAACACGCGCATTCCGCGCCACCGAACACCTTTACTCCCCCCCGGCGGCAGACAGTCAGACAGACGCGGCTCGTGGCTGCGTGGCGAGGCGGTGGAGATCCAAGTGCTCAACGAGGACATGGCTCCGAAGACCCGCCCGGCGGAGCCGGCGGCCCTCACGAACCCCGCGCGCGCGGTGGTTGTGTTGGAGAGACCAGCAGAAGGATCCGCTGTGGGTGGATCGGTCGGTCCGGTCCGTTGGTGGTGTTATCGGATGAATAGTTGCTGCGGTTGTACAACGGGCGCCAGTGTAGATGCGGATGAGGGGGATGAGGGGGATGAGTACATGGTTTCTTGATGAGTGGTTGATCATTGACCAACATCTACAGTAACCACGACACAACACAATACCCCGCATAAAAGGCAACATCTACTATGACATGAGATTTTCCTTAGGCTTTGCATTCCTCCCTGATATCAGTCACATCTCGCATGTGCGAGATCCTCTTCGAGCCATCAGTCTGCTCCCCAACGAATCATGTATTCGGATGTTTTCTTGAAACTTGCTTTGGCAGGACTTCTCCATCTTGAGCTTTCAGGTGCCCGGGATGATCCGGTTCAGAGTAGGAGTAGTTGCAGCTCGGAGTTTAGGGTCATCGTGAAAGGAAGGGTGTTCTTTTTGGTATCCAGTTTTGCTCATTAACCACGCGCACGTATGTTGAACACGTGTCCATGCAATGGAGCAAATCTGTGGTAACTGCAGGGACGCGACACTTAGGTGAACACCTGGTGGACGCTTCTTTTTGCCTGCCTCTTTCAAAGGCATTTGGTTCCAACATGTTCCAACATTCTTTGCATGTACCCAAACGCTCCCTTCACAGCCTGGTCCCGAACCAAACCGATCAGACCCCGTCCCCCTGACTCGTCCGCGGACCGATCCCTCCAGAGGATGAGGAGGTCGCGCTCGGGTCGCGGACGTCGCGTCGAGCCGGGTCTTTTCGTTGACGCGTTGGACCCGTTTTTTTGGGCATCGCACGAGGAGCCTTTGGAGCGAGCTGATAGTGCTTGGCTGGAGGTGAGCCGCACTCCGCGAGTCGAGGAGCCCTCATCGCACTCCGCTTCGGACCCATGGTGCGCTGGCGCTGCTGAAAGAGCGCCCACCCCCCCGAAAGCCGTCAGCCCGGAAGCTTCGGAATGGCGCAAGCGCGCCCGAGGGTTTGGCCAGAAGCTTCGAATCAACCGTGCGACCTGGTCCCGACACATCGCCGTTCAACCACACGTCGTCGTCGTCGTCGTCGTCGTCGTCGCGTGATGTTTGGGATGATTTTTTTCACCAAGACAGTGCCAACAGCCGGGCGACTGGCAGTTGTTCTTAAAGAGAGGTCGGTCCCTCATCGGTCCCTCATCAACAGCCATCGACCTCCTCCGGGATCGGTTCCCGAATCCGGACGGGTCGAACGGGTCGAACGAAGCCGACGTTTGCTCGGCCCACCCAGCCACCACTGAGCAATAGCCACTACCTCAACTACCTCTGGTGGCAGGGCTGTGCACCTTAAGGGCTGTGCACCCATGACAAGGGCTGTTTGGAGCGTCGGTGTAGATTTTTTGTTCTGAATACCACGCGAGTTACAAGTTACAAGTATGAGGGGTTCGAAAATGACACTTCAAAGACAGCCATGACAGTCATGACACGTGCTACGTAGCTGGTGAGGCGAACTTCCAAGACGTTCGGCACATAAAATGGGGTTCTCCAAACCATTTTTCGCCCCGAACGTATGCAGAATGGATGCAGAAGATTGACACCAACCATGCATCAGCCATGTTCATGACAATGTCCTCTTTGCAGCCCCCCCAAAGGGATAAGCAAGATGGAATGATGTGAACTGTGATCATCCGCGTTCAACCCCAAAATGAAGATATATTTATATAACCCTAGAAGTCCAGTTCGACTATATGTTGCCCCACTGAAGTAAAGCATATTCCGTTCGACTCGTGTCACCGAATAAGTCAGGACCATTCGATAGTCTGACCGACTTCCAGAGCCTGGTCGGATATACATGAAGATAGAGGGTGGACACCTCAGTGAACCAGGTTGACCTGGATGCGTTTGGTGTGTTGGATGAGACTCCTCCAAGCCAAACAAACCGCAGGCGGCCCTGCAAAGCGGCGCCCCTCGGCTGGGGCCGGTTTATGGCCGGTGAACCCCGGCTCCAAGCCATGTGGAGGGTGTATTTTGGCAGATCGACACCATTCTCTTGTACAATGTTGTGCGGAACCATTCTCCCCTCAGGGAATGTACAGATGTGTTCAAATAACTCCATGGGACTGGAATAGGACTGCCGCCCCAGAAAGACCCCCCCACCACGCCAAAGGGGCATCTTTTTGTGGGCAGTCCCATGGAGTGTCTGGGGATGTGTTCAAATAACTTCCATTCTCAACGTCGACAGATCTCCGCCTCTCTGCGCACCACCCGCACTCAGGGTGGAGTCCTCCAAGTCTCGGGCCGCACAGTCTGTGCCGTGCGCGACGATTTGGCGGCTTGGGGCTGAGTAGGAGTTGATGGATCTTGGTCTTTGGACAGTCAAGCAGGCGTTTCAAAGCTCACTGGCTCACAGTATGGAGTCAAGTAGGGGAGTTTTACATCGTTTTATTACTTGATTCCTCTGAAGTTTGAAGACCCCTATGGAGATGTTTGACCCGTGTGTGCTGTGTGGTGTTTTTGATTCATCAACAGTCTTCGAGGTTCTGTTTTACTTTCAAGGTCTTGCTTCCTTTTGTTCCCTTTTGCTGAAGAAAGATGGACAAAAGAGTAGGAAGAGTCTGCATTATCTTTACATTATTCTTCGTTGGGCCAAAAGAAAACCAGACTCAGGAGATCGACCCCAGTGAACGCCCGAACTGAACCGGCGGTAGTACCGGGGGTCTTTCACGCCAGAAACCGAACGGTCATGTCACACCGGTGTTTCAGGGAGTCCGGGGCAGCGGTTTTTGCAGGGCATCTTAGACAGCCCTCCTTTTAGTCAAAGAGACAATGAGCTCTTTGCCGTTCTGTTGCCGGGACATCGCATGGCGCTGTCGCATCAGGCTCGCCTACCTAGTGGAAGAGGCGCCAATGGCTTTTAGGTTTTAAGTGGGGAGATCTTTTCACAGCCTGAGTAGGTCATCCTCCACTTAGGATATCTTATGATTGGAGATGATCCCCTCAAGTCCCTCAGGAACAAACCGCTCCGTCTCATTAGGTGCAATTAGGCGTATCCACTGTACCCATTCTTGTTCCAAGCGCGATTTGCTGCCTTTGAATTGGAACGAACAGTTGTTCTCAAGCTTCAGAGGTGTCAAGCTGCGAGGCGTCAAGCTGCGGGAAGTGTCAAGCTGATGCGCAGCTGTTTTGCAGGACTAGGCCGACTGACGACTGTGCTGAAGCCAAGCATTTGTGGCTGCCCTTTGCGGCCCCGCGCCAAGGGCTTCGGTCGCTGACCTGGTTGCTTTGCAGAAGTTCGGCGAAGGGGCGCAGGGGGGGGTCCATCTTCCCAGCTTTGCGGCGTTGAGGTGAAGCGAGT